GTAACTGAGGGATATGGAGGCAAGGGTAGTAGAACTAAACCAGCCCAGTATATTCTATCTTATTTGAATTTCTGCCAGGTGCGCACTAGGTTTTAAAATGGATTATGTATTCAAAACGTCTTGTGGAAAAAATCATGGGTGATAGAAAAAAATAAGACAAACGGAAACAGTCAGGTACATGGAGTGTGAAACCAAGTGCTTTGGGTCTGTGACTGGCAAAGCCCTTTGATGTACCTGAATGTGGACGGTCTCAGTGGATCTGAGAACCCTTGGAAACCTGGAATAGCTTCCTTCCTGACCTTCCAAGACTAGATCGGAAACAAACAAAAAGACCCAAACAAACAACAACAACAAACATTGGGTTTTTAGAGTCAGAGCCCCTAATTCTCATTCCAACCTTCTACTTTCAAAGGGTTCCACAGAACCTTTGCCTCAAAAGTCTGTAAAATGGAGATAATGTTACACATCTCAGAGGGTTGATGGGAAGGTTAAGAGATGACATGTGCTAAGGTACGGAGGGGCATAAAGTAAGTGCTCAATTAGTGCTTGCTATTGTTATCCTGTTATTGACCAGGATTGAAGCCTCAACTTTGATTCTGGCAAAACTGTTGTCTTCCCCAGGAACAGTACATACCTTCCCCTCCATGTTTCTTCTTAAAAGAAATGTCAGATCCTGAACCAGATCTAGCTTTATACCCAAAATTACACTGCATGCCCAAAGAGTACTGCCATGCAGATACTATTATTTCCCCATTGCAACAGTGCGGACACTAATGCTCAAAGAAATACTATAACCTACCCAAGGTGCCTCAGCTGGACTTCAACTGCCCACTTAAACTTTATCACTGTGCCCTTCTATTCTGCCCATTCTATCTTGCTACCTCCCTGACTGTCCTGTTCATCTCTCAAGGACAAATCTGGGAAGCCTTCCCAGACAGCCACAACTGCACTAATGTATCTCTCCTGTGCATCTCTTCAAGTCTCAGACCACCTTTAGTTAAAAACTTGCTCTCCAAAAGTGACTGGATTCCTCAAAGATCAGAAAAGCCTCAGTCTACTCTTTTGAGCCCCCAAATACACAACTCCTACAAGGTGCCACCCAACTTAATGTTAGGTACCTAGTCAGGTTGAAAAGTGGGACTGTGTGCAATTCCTAAGTGCACATGACAATTGTTAGTCATCACCTAAGCCTACCCTTCCATGCGATAGCACTGCAAGCCAAGCAAAGAATATCCGAAGATAGCCCAATACCACATATTTAACCCTCAAATTCTCAGCAAATACAAGCATTAACACTTGTAATACTACTCAACTACAAACATTTCTTGATAGAACTGTTACACTTAATACTATTAATTACTAATACTAGCAACCAAATATCAAGTCCCATTATACTACATTAAAGCAGGACTTGGCCTGTTTGACTACTCAATTTGAGTCCCAGTTAGAAACACCTGTCCCTTATCAGGCGTGGGTGTGTTGTATCTTACTGCAGGCCAGGGGAGGCCGGTCCTACATGAAGTCTTGTTATGGAAATACTTATTTCCTGGTGATTCAGTCTAACTGCTCACAGACTTCTGGTCAAGAGCAGAGCATCCAACTGTGTGTACTGCTCCAAACACCGTAAGGCTCATGGCAAAGAGGCTTCAGGGATGAACACAGAATCCTTCAAGTGGGCAGTCATCAAAGGACTAGTAAAATTTAGGAATCACACAGTGGACTGTGTAGACATATACACAAGCCCACTTGATTTCAACTGTTAGCCACTTGCCAAGCACAGAGCTAGCTTGTGCAAGTATAAAAGTGAGGAAAAGGGCAGAATATGCAGACTGAAAAACATGGGATTGCTGGCATTTCTTATCATTTAACTAAAAAAATCCATTGCCTTTGGGAAGAAAAGTTTATAAATCTCAGACCACAAACTCAGCCGAACTTTAATCTTAAGAAAAAAAAAAATGTCCGGCGGTACCTGGGTGGCTCAGCCCATTGGGCAACCAACTTCGGCTCAGGTCATGATCTCATGGTTCCAAGTTCAAGCCCCAGGCCAGGCTCTGTGAGGACGGCTCAGAGCCTGGTGTCTGCTTTGGATTCTATATCTCCCTCTTTCTCTGCCCCCCTCTTGTTCACACTCTCTCAAAAACATTAAAAAAAATTTTTTTAATCTTAAAAAAAAAAGTTTGTTGCTCTAAAACTTTGACAAGAGGAAAACAGTATACTCTTCATTCTAGATAGGTTAAGTGGTCAAAGATAGTGCTTCTTCCTACTTAGGGCAAGAATCAGTCGTCCTATGATTGGGTAAACTCGTACTACCAACTCTGTTTACTAAATAATAGTTGACCAGGGATGAATTAGGGATTAAATAGAAGCTGAAACTCAAAAAATATTTAAATCAGACACAGGTTATTTAGTACTATTTTCTGAATCCAAAGCCTCAAGTGTTCCGATCTACCATCAGCAACTACACAGTACATACGAAGAAACCAGTACCCAGACTAGACACAGAACCCATCCTCTTCATTTAGGGCAAGTCTACACTTCTAACCAGGGAAGGTGTCTAAATTAAGAGAGTTTTAAAACGATTCTAACACAAATGTCGTATATCTGTGCATGCAAATTAGTGCCATATTATTCCCAAAGAATTTTTCACAAGGTAAATCAGGATTTTGTCAGATACCAGGTTTGGGTTGTCACTTCAAGTCAGTTGCACCCTCCACGCGGAAATTCCATTTTCATTTAAGACACAGAGCTGCAATAAAGCCCTGCATTAAGCTCTTCCCCCTATAAACTAGGAAATGCTTGCGAATCCCAAACCATCTGAAATGACTAGGGGAGGAGTAGTTGAGAGAGAAGTGTGAACTATTAAAGGCAAATAAAGTAATTCCACACAAAGATATTCTTCTAATTTATATTTTATTGCATTATGAAAATAATACATTTGGCAAAGTAATCTAGGCTCCAAATTGAAATAAAAGAAAATTCCGAAGAAAGTGTACTGATTATTTTTTAAATGTGAACTATTAGATGTATCCTAACCAATACATACTAGCATTCTTATTAGGCCAATAATCCAATAAACCTAATTATAATAATTCCACATAAAATTACAAGGTGTTTTTGCATTCATCCATTTTATGATTAGCACAAATCTCAAGAGAACTGAGCTTCGTTTAATCAAAACCAAATGTAATTAAACTCCTGTTCAGAAGACAATTTGAAACACTACCCAAAATGTGTATTTCCTTTGGTTCTACAAGTTGCATTTCATCCTTATCACGTTACATTTCTCATAATCAAACATTGTAGCAGCTATAGATTCTGCCCAGTACCTTTATAAGTAAACTAGTATATTACATTATTTGAAAAATTACTGATTTTACAAATGCAAAAATGCATAAATACATGCCTATCTACACCAGCAAAACAAAGTACTCTGAACCTCCATGCTTTCACAGGCTCTACCTTCTGGCGCAGGATTTCTGAGATGTCTTTCCAAGCCAAAGGGTGACAAGGCCCCTGACGGGGAATTCCACGGCTCTGTCCACACTTGTGAAACGTGTAGTTACAATAAAACCTGACTGGATTAAATTTATCTAATCATCAACAGTTAAAATAGGACATTTTCCACTACTCATCTCTGTTCTGCTACATTTTCAGACCTGAAAAGATGTATTTTCAAAAATGTATGAGGATGTTTTCACTTTTTTAAAAGGGAAAGTGCTAAAAAACATCTTACATATATACTCTGTATCATCAGCACTGAAAGTTCTTTTCACATGTTGGGTTCAGAGTCTAGATTCTAACGGTTAAACAATGTGCTCAAGGCCGAAAAAGAAAAAAAATATTTTTAATCACTGAAGTCTTGATGCTTCATTTAGATCTTTTAATATGACTTTGCTGATGTGTGTTAAGAAAATGTGCCTGAAATTAGCCTTTAAAAAATTTGCAGCTGAATCAGTTACTATTAGAACTGATATTTTCATTAAGCAAAGTCTGTGTAAGTGCACCTATGCATACTTGCGGAAATCTACTTCCAAATGGGCATCAATATCTTAAACCAGCTGAACAAGGTTTCCCAGTTTAACTACAGAAGTATTCCACCTATCCTAAAGAAGATATTCCATGAGCATTCTACAATTATCTGTATAAACAGCAACAAGTTTGATCTATGATCAACATATGAATATCTAATAAATATTAAAACTATTAAACTATAGATTAAAATGCAGATCTCTCATAGAGTTAAATGATGGCATTTTGGTACATTCACCATTATTGTACTTTATTTAATAAAGAAATACATTTGCCCTTGCAAAAATAGCAATTGCAAGTTTACAAATAAAACCACAGACCGTAAAGTCATGATGCTAAATCTTCAACTTATAACCAACAAAAGTAAATTGTTTACAAATGGTCCATGGCACAATTAAAATAAAAAATATCAAAGGTCACAGGATCTTAAAGAATAGGTTTATTGACAATAATTTCATAAATATTCTAAAGAAAATTTTAAAATTTCTAAACTTAAAATGTTTAAAATCTGTTCTCATTGGCAAAATATCCCTCAACAAAATAATAGGTCACTACAAATGAATGTCACATTTAAAATTTGCTTCATTTTAACAGTTTTGCAAAAAAATTTCTAAAAATTTACAATGTGTGATTCTTTTCTCCCCTCCTGGACACAGTAATTCAATATTCAGTTTTTATTTCAACTATTAGACATATTCATAAATATATCATCTAGCTGCTGTGAACTTGACAGTCAAGTCAGTCAGTAGTATATTACCCTATAAACATAAACGGAGCCCAATCATTTTGGTAATTATAGCAATTTAAGTAGTCAAAATGCAAAAGTTGTGGTTGCCACCCACATCACCCCAAAGGTTATGATACAGTGTCAGAAACTGTTTGCATCAGTTTTATAAGTTCATCTGTGTACTTCAGATATCTGAAACTAAAAAAGGGATTCTTTTGTATTTTGATAAAAATGTACTCGAATATTTCATAACATTAATATTTATTGCTTTATATGAATACTGTATTGAAAGCCCAAGCATTCAGTTTACACACAGAAATTATACAATTATATACCGCTTCACAAAGGCAGTGAACACATTACATTCTACAAAATCTACTTTACAGAAATTTAAAAATTCTAAATATCAAAAGGTACAGCTGAAGAAACAGGTATAAATTTGGCAGCCAGTAATTTTGACAGGGAAGTTGCAGCTTGCATGACTTTAAATATGTGAATTTGAAAATATTGAGTTTAGAGTAATCATTGTGCTTTGTGTTAATCTGAAAAATATAACACTGGCTGTCGAAGAAGCATGTTCAAAAATATTTAATTCACTTCAAAATGTCATACAAATTATGGTGGTTTCTATGCACCCCTAAAGCTTCAGCCATTTCGCTCCAGTCAGTACATTACTATAGTAATATATTAATTCTTCCAGTACAGTGGGGTTTCACACCAATGACATTTGCATACTCTAGAATAATTTAGAAAGAAATGTGTAATATTCACAATGTTCAAGAAAGCAAGCAAAAGGTCAAGGAACCTGCCGGGTTCTTCTGAGATGGTCTCATGTCAGCATTCATTCTACAAAATAGTAAGCTAATGTTTGAACACAGTTTCCAAGATAAAGCATATTTTCTCATAAATAATGAAGTCTTTTTCTCAGGCACCTCAGAAGTATACAAAAGAATTTTTAGTTTGAACAGATCTCTTGGAATGTGTTTAACCTGGTATTTCAACAGACTTACTTCCAGGGTTTCACAAGGGCCAGATTTTATTTGAATTACTCAGAAGAGAAACTGAAACTGTCTTCTGAAAGAGGTGAACTCAATTATTACCAATAGAAAAAGTATCCACTGTATTCATCTCTTATAGAAACAGAAAAATATAACATTTCCCTCTTAGAATAATATATATATATGTATATATGACTTAAAGTTCCATTGTACATACTCAAACAATAAAATCTGGAAACCAGCATGAAACCCTATAATTCACATGTTAAAATGTTGAAACTATGACCAAAATATGAAAACTGCTAGAGCTGTCAGAAAGAGACAAGACAAAAAGACTTCTTGCATATTTATAAACTAAATGTGATAATCTCCAAAAGGTTTCAAAATTATAATTATTACCTTCCAGTTTGAAAACTTTAATTAAAAAAAAAAAATCTATACACAAACCACTGATTTGACCAGACTGGAAAAAAAACAAAAACAAAACTCAGCGGTAAGCAGGACCCAGAGGAGCTGATATTCACAGTTCTTACATGTACAACTCTTTCAGGATTTATCCCATAAAGTACTTTGTTTTACAACCTGCTTCTCTTGTAAAAACTAGAGGTCCACTTTATTACATAAAAGTTTTATACAGTGTAAAACCAGAACTGTATGTAAAATACTGCATCTACAGGTTTCTAAATAGTTAGTCTTGTTCCATTGGTTCATCTGTGACTTCTGTGGCTTCTTCGTCGTTTTCCATGGATGATTCTGAGAGAATCTCTCCAGTTTTACTGGAATTGGATCCTACTAATTCTTCTGTTTCATGGAAATCAGAACCACTACTTACAGGGCCTGTATTTTCGCTACCTTCAGAATGTAAATCTTTCTCAGCTTGAGTCAGATCAGATTCCTCCATTTGATTATTTTCCTCAGAAGTCTCTTCATTCACAGTTAAGGCATCATCAGATTCTTTTTCTTGATTTTTTCTTTCTGGGACCATTTCTCTTGATGTCATAAAAGACTCTAAAAATAAGCAAATGTTGTTGTAGTTAAATTTTATTTTCAAAACACCTCCACAGTTAAGTTTCATGAATTCTGATATTCTACAGTTCAAATCATATCCCCTGACACTCAGCAGCAACTACATACAGGTGGGAGAAAAGCCCAACATCAGCATTATAAGGAGTTCCATTATGTTAAATTCTCTCACGCAAAAATGAAGTACAAGAATTTGAGGATCTCCTTACTCCACCCTTTTACAGATGGTCTCTAAATACCTTCTTCCTCCTCTTCCTCCTCTTCCTCCTCCTCTTCTGTACAGTGCTGCCTGGTACAACTACTTTCCTTGTCTTTATTCTGAGATGGCGACGATGCTTCTGTTTCTTCTACCATAACCGAAGAAATTTCACTGGAAGATGTTTGGCTGGCTGTCTCTCTGACTTCACTTTCTTTGTCAAACCTGAGTCTTTTTACCTCATGCCCCTCAGCCTCCACAGAATCTTCATCTGGATGTTTATTTTTTGTCGGGCTCACTGAGGAACCTTCTGATTCAGATGTTGAAGAGTCACTGTAAATGTTTTTTCAAAATGCCATTAATAAGATTTTCTTCATCTTCCACATTCTCATCACATTTTTAAGGTCTACTAACTTTTTAAATTAAGAAGAGTCAAAGTTAAATTGTAACTTTGTAAATTGTAACATCTAGGCAGAGAAAAACACAAGAGACTAATTTCGAGGGAACCTCAACTCTTTAGGGACTATTTCCTATTAGAACTAGTCAACAAGTTGTATAACATTTCTGTTCAATTCTGCAGTAAAAGGCTTCTCATAACAGAACTACAAGTCCTCCAGACAGATATACTAAGATTGCTCACTTGTTTTGTTTGCTTTCCCTTAATGTGATGCAGAAAATGTGAAATGGGATATAAACAAAAGGTTTCATTTAATAATCTGCAATGAGAAGCAACTCACAAAATTTCAACCTTTCAGGTTACTTGCAAAAACAAGAAATAAAAAATATCATGATCAGTTTACTTTCTTAAGACTCTGCGGTAAATAGGATCTCCCCAAATTAGAAGTTTTATGCCTTTTTTATGATCATCTTCACCATGTACTAATGCTGGAAACTTCCAGAAGTCATATACCGCTCCTGTAAACCACATTAGAACCTTGCTGTATTCCTCAAAACCACAGTAAATAGTAAACAATGAGTGCTGAAAACAATAAATGTTAAACTTTTTTGAAAACATTTTTGTTTTAAAATATAAATCACATACAAACCTGTGATTTTTGTCCTCATTTTGCTGTAAGTTTGACTCTTTGCTGTCTGTGCTCTCAGGCAAGCCATTTGTTGTCATGGGGACTGACAAAGAAACCTTTGGTCGATTAAGTGGCCTGGGTGTTCCAGGCCCGTTTATATTAGACCTACAGTAAGATAAATAAACATCATTTCCCCCATATATATAAAAAAAATCACCCTCCCAAGATTTCCTTACATGAACACATCAAGAAGTATTTACTCTAACTTTGACTTTCACATTTATGGCTACCAAATTAATTGTTTAGTTCTTCCTGTATCTTTCGTAAAACATCCAACTTTTAAGAAAGTGTATTGAACCTGCTTCTCAAAAGTAGGAAAATGCAATCTCTCTGGATATTAAAATCAATAATCTCACCGTTCAGTATAACTCGGTGAATTTCCAGGAAACATAACACCATTCATTCGATTTAAACTGTTAGAATTGTTTTTCCTATAAGAAAAAAAGAACAAAACACTATTATAGATCATTTAGTCCTTTAATTTTGGTTAAGAGCCATGGCCTAAAAGATCTCTTAGAGGATCTCATGGCCAAAGAACCAAACAAAAAGATTTCTGTGAGAAACAACCTAATTATGGGATTACCTTAATTATCTCATTTCCCACAGGTTTATTCTTGTGAGAGTTCTAAAAACAAGCCCACTGTTATTGCCTATGAAATCACAGATGTTTTATAAACCCAGTGTTTCTCAACAGGAGGCAACATCCTTCTTGCAGCTCTCCTTCCCCCAGCCCACAGCCTCCCGGACACTTCTAACAATGTCTGAAGACATTCTTTGAGAAATGAGGGGAACACTTCAGGCATCCAGTGGGTAGAAGCCAAGTACAGTGCTAAACTACTGTAATTCCCAGGACATCCACTTGAAACAAAGTTATCAACAGTGCCAAGGACTGTCTTAAACTGATACATTAATTTACTATCTAAATCTTGACAACTGGAAATACTTTTCCATTATGAAGAGGAATGTCATCAAGTAGCTATTCCAAACCTAGGAGTTATTCCCTAGAAACACCATGGCAAAGTATCTAGGATGGGATCTCAGGGTTCTGAGCACTGTGACAGTAGACAAACCCACAATGTAAAGACTACAGTAAAACACCTAATCACTTTAATCCATACCTCTTTATCAGAAAAACATAGAGGTAATATCATTGGTAATATTCTACTTGGGGGACTGGGTGGTAGGTTCACAAGTATTTATAAATATTATCATGCTTCATTACATATAAAGTAAATATAACCTATTTTAAAGGCTAATATATTAGAAATGACAGAAGACAAAAATCTATATATATACTTACTCTGAAGAAGGATATACACAGCTAACAACCATCACATTCTGTAATAACAAAAGTTGATGCTTTAATGTGAGGGAAAGCACTACATCAAGTTTAATCATTTGTTTTTAATTTCTCAGAATCAACCTGAGAGATTAAGTTCCTATCTATTCCAATTTTACTGATACAAGGAAATAAATGGTTAGAAGTGATTAATCAAACAGAAAGTGAAACAATAACAGACTTATCTTTTTAATGTTTATTTATTGTTAGAAAGCAGGCATGCGGGTGTGAGTAGGGGATGGGCAGAGAGAGAGAATCTCAAGTAGGCCCCATGCTGTGGGCAGAGCCTGAGGCAAAGCTGGATCCCACAAACCCACGGACTTTGAGATCATGACCTAAGCCAAAATCAAGAGCTGTACCCTTAACCAACTGACCCACCCATGTGTCCCCAGACAAAACCTAATATAACCTACTAAACCATTTGGTTTTTCTGCCAGTATTATTTTCACTCTACTCTAGCTACTTTAGAGCCCTGACATTATATACATCAATCATAGTGGAACCACACTCTTACATTATATTGAAACCACTCCAAGATATTTAGATATTCGAGTACTTAGACCAAGTATAAAGAATTTCCTTATAGAGCAGTACCCAAGCAAAAGACTGTTATGTAGCAGCATATACCAAAAAAGAGCCTAAGACATTTTTAATAATATAATCTTTCTGGTAATATGAACTTTATTAATAGTCAATACTCATTAAACATGTGCAATGAGCCAGAGTAAGTGCTTTACATTTGATCACCTCCAGAACCCTGTTATTATCCATACTTTATATATTAGAAACTAGCACTTAGCTTGTGTAACTGGTCCATGGTCACCCAAATGAAAACAACGTAGCCCTGATTTGGTGAGAGGGCCACCCCTGACACAACTACTGCAACTGCCTCTTCATCCAAAGAGCCAAAATCTAATTACTCAAAGTCCATAGGCTGAAAATAAGTACTGATGAATCATCTCAGTTTCCTGGCCCTCAGGAATCTTATTAAATGGGGGGCACAGAAGCTGCAACAAAACATATTAATCCAGTAAGGCCCTAAGATCTCCTGTAAATCACCAAGTAATGGTTTTGGGTTCCAGCTTCAAGGGTAAAATAAACTGAATTTGATTTAGATCCATAAAATGAACACTGAACTATGTTTTAGGATCAATCACAGAGGGAATTAAAAACCCACAGTCCAATCTTGGTTCCCACGGGGCTTCTTCATTGGTTTACTCCAGAGAAGTCAATTTCCTACTTTTCATTTTCTCAAAAACCTTGATGTCTTTGTTCATCACAATGTTTCCCTCACCCAAAATGCCCTTTTCTTGTAACTAACACCTCCTATCCCCCCCTCAAAAAAAACCAATGCTTTCCTCATTCTTAAGTTTGATCTACATCTTTCTCAGAATCTAACTTAAATTTTATCATCAGATTTCCCAAAGTTGTACACCTCTGAAAACCAGGCATAAAGAAATGAATTCCATGATCAACAAGCATGCAAAACACAACTATAAAGTTAAAATACCAATTTTAGAACTTTGCAGAGCCTTTAATGTTAATGTATACTATGAATTTTGAAGACTGTAATAAGGTGCTTTCCCCAAACTTAATTGATCACAAGCTCTCATTCTATGCCCCTCCTATTAAATCTCTCTCCAAAACTTATTTTTTTTTTTGCAAATTAGGAAAACTTTAGGTAGCTTTCAGGAAACCTATTTGAAGAAAAGATGCCTGAAAGAGCACATATACAATGCTCTCTTCTGGAATACATTAGGCTAAGTTTAATAGAACTCCAATAGTAAAATAAATACCTTTTCTACTCCTCTGAGAAATTTGTCTGTTCCTGTATAGTTTCTCCTTGGATCTGTTAGCAACTCACATAGTCGCTGAATAGTGAAAGGGATACTGCAAAAGAATATGATTTTATAGTTTGAGGTCATTAATTATCAAAAGAATAAGAAACATTATTAATCTTGCTATTTAAAGATTTATCTAGTCATCTGTATATTAAGTGACAAAAGAAAGTGTTACAATATGAAGATGAATAGAGGTGTGGCTTAAAAATAAGCAAGACAATAAGCACATTTGTCTTTTTAATAGGAAAATCCCTTGCCTTAAAAATTTAAAAAAAACATACAAAATTTTGAAAGTTTCAAAACTCAGAAAAAACTTTTAACACTCTGAAAATAATTGAACTTTAAATTTACAAGAGAGGCAACACAAATAATAATCAAGGTAGTTTATTAAATACAGAAACTTTTCCTCAAGCATTCCTTTACACACAAAGATTTCTATACAGTGTCTCCAAAAACAAACAAAACCCCCCTGTAAATGTTGTGTTGTCAGACAGAACAAAGCAAATGATTCAACAAATAATTATTATAATAAATAAGGTCCTGCTCCATAATTAGTTTCATACACAATCTGTGTTTGATCAGACATAAAATACAAACATCATCATTATTCTGACAAGTACCCTATTAATAACTTTACCAAAAACTTCAACCATAATCAAATTTTCACTTGATCATACCAATACAAAACTGATATACACTGGAAGTAATATCATTTTTAAATATAAAAAAATTTGTCTCACATACTATTAGCATTCCTTGGAGTCTGAACAGCAAACATAAAAGCATCAGACAGACAAACAGCTAAAAAGTACAAACATAACCTTTGGACTTCAGTATTTGCCATTAAAATCTACTTATTCTCCTTATAAACAAAATTACAAAATCTCAAATTAAGAGTTAACATTCACAAAGTTCTCTACTGAGTATAGGCATTTTGACACAATACTCTCCCCAACAGGAAAAGCAGGTAGTATCAGCGCTAGGACTGAAACCCAGTGTCTCTAACTTCAAATCCCTTGTCCTCCTTCCCTTTCCACTATTCTGAACATAATTAAAATGTTATTTTCTAAACAAACTATATTCGGTTCTCATATTTTTAGCATCAATGCTACTCTTTTGTTCTTATGAAAAGTCAATATAAGATTTATAACATTTTGAAAAAGTGTAAAGTATACATTTATTCATATGAAAACATTTTACTTAGGAGAGGCCAAGAATCAATCTTCTCTGAAGTAGCATCAAAACCTAAAAAATCAGAAAACTATCATTCTGCCGATGAAAGACTGAGCACTAACTAAAAGATGACATGTGTGCCTGATGTCACAAATACTCAGAAGCAGCTAGAAATTACAGAACTTCTCTGAGGTCATTATGAATGCTAAAGGAAATTCCTTTGGATTTCTGAGACTGTTTCTTCCTCTTGAAAGAAAATATAGCCAGAGTGGAGTATACAGTCCAAATTAAGAATCTTTAAAGTGGAAAAAGGAAACAAGGTGCATCAACAACATTACTAATAACAAGAGAGTAATAAGCTGACACATCTGTTTTATTCATTTGTATAAAGACAACACATAACTGAAAATCTATATATAGCTAATACGTAAGACAGTTAACTACATTGAAAAATTCAAAGAAACATCTCCCAAGCTACATATATAAACAACATAAATTTACTTAAGAATCTCCTATATATGAGGTTCAATATGTAAGTTATTTGTACACATACATCTGAATGTATCTGTATATACATCTACAATATATCTGAAATGCAGTACCCATTATGGATTTCTGAGTATTAATCATATCCCTGTATCTCAGCCCCTTTTCAAGTTCATTACTTTCTAAACCTTCAATACACTCCACCTATGCTATTCCCTAAATAATAGTGACACTGTAAGTGAGTGTATATGTTATTAAAAAGAGGCAAAATAGCATCCAACGTATAGGATAATCAAACTATACTTAACTGACAAATATTAAATAGATGGTATATCTAGCTATGTCTTTTACTCTGACCAAATTTCATTCAAAAACCAAAACCAGTATATTCTCTTAAATTAAAAACAGCTTTCGGGGGCACCTGGGTGGCTCAGTATTGTTAAGCATCTGACTCCTGATTTTGGCTCAGGTCATAATCTCAGGTTCATGAGATTGAGTCTGCTTGGGATTCTCTCCTTCTCCCACTCACACTATCTCTCTCATAAATAAATATATAAACCTTTATTAAAAAATGGAAGAAGAAAAAAGCTTTATTTATTTACTTATTTATAATATATTATCTTCCCATCAAGGGATGAATCTTTTTTTTTTAATCTTTATTTTTGAGAATGAGACAGAGACAGAGTGTGAGCAGGGGAGAGGCAGACACAGAATCTTAAACAGGCTCCAGGCTCTGAGCTGCCAGCACAGAGCCTGACATGGGGCTCGAACCCACGAACTGTGATATCATGACCTTAGCCAAAGTCGGACGCCTAACCGAAGGAGCCACCCAGACACCCTGAAAATAAATAGCTTTAAAACATAAACACCCTTAAGCTGTTTATTAACAATGTTTACCATAAATGTTTTGCCTATTTTCTTTAGGAAGGTAGGTAAAAGTGTAGGCAATTATTAACACTGCATAAGTTGGTGAATAATACTGCTTTGGGGGGTGGGTGGGAATGTATTATGTCTGCATAGCAATATTAGCAAAATAGCCTGTGATAAAATGAGTTTACTTTTTAGACTTTCAGGAGCTTTTAGAGTTATTTTACCAAGTGTCCAACAGATGGCACTAAAATACCATGTAACACCCCCACACTCCTTACCTGAAGAACAGGCTAAAATATAAATACTACCTGCATATGAAAGTATGCATTAGAAACATTAATATAATCTTGATAACTGCGCTGAAGTTCTCTTTAAACACAGTTGTACTTTTTAACTTTTAAGTAAATATGAAAGCCCACTATAAGCTAGAAATACTTACTCAATAGCAGAGTATATAAATAATTACAATCAATACTAATAAAACTTTGTACACAATGCTATCAGGATAAACTGTATGCCAAGGAAGCAAGCGTGAACCTGGGAACACCTCATCTGAGTGAGGTCTTTAAAAGGAGGAAAAAACAAATCAGACAAATCCAAAATGAATGTTTGGTACAAAAACTGTTATGAAAAGTTTCCCTTCTGTTAATTTTTTCTCTAAAGTAGGCTTCAAAACCAACTTGACAATAAACTATTTAAGAAAAAAAAGAAAAGTAGGCTTCATGCCCAACACAGCCCAATGTGGGACTTGAACTCATTACTGTGACATCAAGACCATAGTTGAAATCAAGAGCCAGACTCGTGACTGAGCCACCCCAGCACCCTTCTTCTGTTACTCTTTAGACACAGCATACAAAACCATTTGTTTTAATTCCTGAAAGTAAAGTGTTTCCAATAAAAATCACTAACTAAATTAAGACCCAGGTGCTAAGAAGAAAAAAGCAAAACTGAGCACAATGAAAAACCTGAACAAGAAACCCTAAATTTGGGGAAATGGGGTAAGGATATTCAATGGAACAAGATACTGTATAATTAAAAAAAACAATGTAGAAAAATCTTTGGAGGGGGAGCACCTGGGTGGCTCCATTGTTTGAGCATCCAACTTCAGCTCAGGTGATGATCTCACTGTTTGTGAATTTAAGCCCCAAGTACGGCTCTGTGCTGACAGCTCAGAGCCTGGAGCCTGCCTCAAATTCTGCCTCCCTTTTTCTCTGCCCCGCCCCCACTCTGTCACACTCTGTCTCTCTCAAAAATAAACGAACATTAAAAAAATGTTTTTACAAGAAAAAAATCTTTGGGGTTATTTGAAATAAAAATGTATTCAGTTTACTCTGCAATGTATTACCTTATTTGCCCACCAAAGATCAAAACTAACAACACATAAGGAATAGGGCGGGACTTTTAAAAAGAACATGATTAGCTAGCATTTTCCACTTTAAAAAAAGATGTCCACAAAATCCAATTAAACTTTAAAAACAAACAAACAGGGGTGCCTGGGTGGCTCAGTCGGTTAAGCGTCCAACTTTGGCTCAGGTCATGATCTCATAATTCGTGGGTTCGAGCCCCGTGTCAGGCTCTGTGCCTGACATTAAATCTTAGTTTCCATCATCATCCTGATCCCTTCCACTAAAGAACGGAGACTAGAAAGCAGAAACACTCCAAAGACCAACTACAGAGGAACAAAATCAAAAGTTTACCTGTCTTTAAAAATATTCCTTTTAATTCCAAGGAGAGTAACTAACCCTGATTACAAATAGGATCACATATTTTATATTAGCTACAAAGTATATCTCAATTTGACTGCAACCTCTTCCCATTCACTGAATTAAAAAAAGTATCAAGTCCCATAGACCTGAAAGCTATGAGAATTCAAGTATCAGGAAATGGGATGAATATGAGAGAAAGACATCTAAGCATAAATTAGCAATCCAATGTTATTTTTATTTATTTAAAAACATTTTTTTGTTTTTATTTATTTCTGAGAGAGAGACACACACACACACCATGAGCAGAGGAGGGTCAGAGAGAGAGGGATACACACAACCTGAAGCAGGCTCCAGGCTCTGAGCTAGCTGTCAACACAGAGCCGAAGCAGGGCTCAAACCCACACCTATGAACCGTGAGATCATGACCTGAGCAGGAAGTCGGACGCTTAACCGACTGAGCCACCCAAGCACCTGATCCAATGTTATTTTTAAAAGAAAGCAATTTTAAACAATAAGGCCAATGCCTAAAGGAAGAATTTCCTAGCTTATATTTTAACCTGAGACTATAAATTTGATTAAACTTTATCTTAGTCTGTTTAAATGTTTTACCATTAAGATGTACAAATATTCTGAATGCATACCAAGGCATTCAGTTGGAAAGAAGGCATTCATAAAAAGAAAATGCACATTTCATTCAGAATCTAAGATAAAAATCAGATAACTGATTATCTTACTCCTTTGTAATACAATCAGCTTTCCTCATGAAAAAGATAAGGGAATATAACAGAGGCCATTCAAGTAAAAAACTATGAGATAACCATAAAATCAGACATCCTATTATGAAAAATGCTAAAACAGCCAGCTCGCTTTTCTTCTATGTGTAAAGATGTGGTTTTTACTGTCTTTTATCTATTAACGGCTACATTTAGTTAATAGAATTACTTAAATCTGACCTGAACTATTTAGGTAAAAGCTAACTTAAATAGATCTTAGTTATCAAAGGCTGAACTAGGTCCTACAAAAGTCAGAAATACCACTGGACTCATGTGACATTATCTTTTTACATAAAGCAATATGCCTCTATCTGTACTCAGGCTTTAATATTTGTATAAAATATACACATAAACATTCTTATGTATATATTTTCTACCTCAAATCCAATGTTAGAAATTCTGAGACTTACTGAAAACATCATTGTAAAATGACAAGTACAAACAATTAAGAAAATGAAGAATTAGCCTTTTTAAATAATGGTAAGTAATCCTAAACTAGTATCTGCACCATTCCCCATCCCCAAATAAATCTGTAGCAACTGTCAACAGTTTTAATCAACTTAAATCATTTTTTATAGTGCCTACAATGATCTGATTTGTCACTATACTTTCATCAAATATAAAATATCAAGAAAAAATTAAGTTCTGCTATATCTTACCTTCCAATTTGAAACATGTTATTAAAGCATCAAATCAAATGATATTACCAAAGGACAAGACAAGGTGATGGCAGGACAAGGAGGGGAGGTTACTCAATGATTTCAATTCTCAATTAGTTATGCTAAGTAAAAGAGACTGAAGAAAATAAACACAGCTAAAAGATTTAATACACTCAACACAATAAATGCAAAACCTTTTTCCTATCCGACTAGAGAAGAAAATTCAGCAAGCAATAGGTCAAAGTAAGGGAACAAAGTAACAAAAGACTAGAACCCATCTTCTCATCCCTGAGTCATCTCAGTAAAGCAACAATACAGAATCAAAAAAGGAGTATGTTTTGGGGGCCCCTGGGTGGCTCAGTCATTAAGCATCCAACTTCAGCTCAGGCATGATCTCACGGTTTGTGGGTTCGAGCCCTGTGTCAGGCTCTGTGCTGACAGCCAGCTCAGAGCCTGGAGCCTGTTTCAGATTCTGTATCTCCCTCTCTCTGACCCTCCCCTGCTCTTGCTGTGTGTCTCTCTCTCAGAAGGAAAAGAAAAAAAGAAAAAAAGAGTATGTTTTAAATATATGATGCAGATAGAAGAATATAAAAATCTCATATACGACTTTTAAAAAAAGTATGAAGAGGTGCACATTCAGGTGCAGAGATCTCTGTATGTATGCAACCCACATGTGAAACAATAATGTGAGATTTTAGTACTAAGAAAAATCTGGTCAGTCATTTATGTTAAAGTAACTTTAGATAAAGAACAAATTCAATAATTAGAAAGACTATCATGTCTAAAGTTGAAAAGCACTCCTCAGTTGTAACCTACTGTACCTGCATTACAGATGATATATTAAAAGATTTTTTTAGGTATCAAATGGTTATGTACTTTTCCCAGATCTGCTCATAAATATATAATCATACTATTTTAGTCCACTACCCACAATTACTGAAACTTACTGCTTTAGAAAGGCCTTAGATCTAAAACCATTGACAAAGGAGAAGCAAAGACACATCGTTAATTTATATTCATTATTCTTCCACTTCAGTAATTTAGAGAACATATATCTTTTTTAAAACTAACAAAAATGAAAATTACATTCTTTCTACCCTTTGAAATCCCTCTTTGTGTACTACTATAGGAATGAACTACGAGAAACAAAATATTACTATAGAAACATGCTTTTTATCCTTTTCATCCATTTATTCAGTACTTGTTTGAAAACTACTATGTTCAGACACTCACTGTTCTAGGCCTTCTTTGGAAAAGACAGTTAACCCTGTTTTCCAGGATCTTATAGTTCAAGAAATCAAGCCAACAAGTGAATCGACAATTACCACTTCAAAGAGGGAAAATTTAAGTGCTGATAATATATTGAAACAATCTTAGAAAATGGATAATCTATTTTATAGCTACATACTATGAAGCACTTACTACAGACCTTTAACTAATTAAAAGCAAAAACAAAACAATAAACTTACCAGTAAGAAAACTGCCCCAAAACAAGAAAAACAAAGGTATGAAGTCACAATTTATAAGAACCAATAAGCACCTTAATAAGATGTTCAATTTCACTTGCAGTCAAAAACATAAATCTATCCATATACACACAATTAACTACTGAAGAATCATAATATCTGCCCTTTCTTACACAGGCAATGATAAATTAACACATGTTGTGAGGTCAAATTGGCAGGATCATTGAAAATTCAGGTATGCGTACTCTGACCTCTCAATTCCATTTCTACAAATTAAAAGAAAAGCAACAGTCTAGAGAAATAAATATTCAATGTATGACATTCATCAACACAAGAAGGTATGTACAAGGATGCTCACTACAAGCATTACTGGTAGTAGTCAAAAACCCCCACCGCCACTGGAAACAAGGCAAATGAATTATAACTTGTTTGTATAATAAAAAATAATGTAGTTATTTCAAATACACAGACAACTATGCATTAAGATAGTGATTTCAAAGCTCTTTGAAAAGGCAATACAATTCGCTATGCCATCATCCTACATTCTTTTATGTACTACTCCTTTGACATCTGAGGATCTGTTTAAAACCATGAACAAGTATCATTTCTGTAACTTAAAAGATAACAGCAGAAAAGGTATACTAGAAAGGACAAATCTTCAATCTGGTTGAAAAAGACGAAAGTACAATTTTATCCATCACTCTTAGCAAATTTTTTAAACAGCATTTATATACATTCAAAACATGAAAATAAAATTGAGAAAAATCGTAAATATATTTCAATATACCAATATATGATAATATAGACAAAAATGTAAATTAAAAACTGAAAATTATTTATCATTGATTAATAAGACTTTGATCCTGCTTGATTAGGGAAAAAGATTCATAACTACTATTCTGAAAAAAATTAAAAACAATGTAAGTTCAAAATACTTATGGTTCAAGGACGAAAAATGTTTTAAGCGCAATTACGTCTTAAGTATGATTTGGTATTTAAATCACTGCTCAAATCACTTTCAGAAGTAAGTCAATAACCTATGTTATAGACTAAGACATTATGAATATTTAGATTTATTTAATAACCTAACTATCTGTCTTGTCCACCTTAATTTGAAAGAACTGAAAATGGTATTACTGAGAATCACAAGTAAAATAGCTTCACATCACAAAGCAGTAGTATATATATGACCTGTTTTACCTTAACTCTTATTTTTAATTGGTAGCCATAAGTTACTGAAACAAAAGATGAGTTATAATAACACCGAAATACTACCTATGCACTATTCATAAATATCCCCAAGAAGTATTCTTACCATGAGTAACTCAGTTCAAGAATAAATCTTATGCAGCATACGACTAATATACAGCATGTGACCTTCTTTGGGTAGTTGCATTTAAAATATACTATTATTAATAAAGAAATTAATGTATACAGTTCAGTAACTTTCAGTATAGTACAAAAGTACAACAGGGTACAAAGTCAAAATAAGTCTCCCTCCCACCCTAAACCTATAATAAAGGTGGTTCAAAGACACAGCTGTAAATTCTGCTCCCAAGCAAGTATTTTAGTCACATACCTAAAACCAAAGAGGAAGGATTGTTACTTTAAGCAAAATCACATAGGCACAAAACATGACATATAAAGAATTAACTGGATTATACTCTTGTTGCAAATCCATGTGTTTAAATATTTGAAGGGAAAAATCAGACTGTTTATGCTACCTAAAAACACTTATAAATGAAACTTCCTACCCCAAATATGAATTCAGTTAACATATCCAGTTCATTAAATTTGGTATTGCCAACCAACACTCCAAATTGCTAATATCAGTCTAAATACTTAATAATTCAACTTCACAAATACTTCTTCCTTCAATAAAGGAAGCCTAATACAAAGTCCTAAAAAGAAAAATACTTAACATGACACAGAATATGACATGCAGCAACATTTCTTAAAATAGTTTTATTTTAGTGCAGTGTATCTTTTCAATGCAATGTTTTACAAAGGGCTAAGAATGGTTACTTGTTACCTTTGAGTAAAACGGCAACTCCAAAAATTTTTTTTAAATAAAAAGTTCTAAGTGGAATATATACATAAATTATTATTTTTCATTTTTAAAAAGGTGTCATGTATCTCAAGGATATAAAGGTTCTAGATAAAGTATAATGATTATAATACCACATAAAATGGAAAGAAAAAACAAACATATTTCCTGAATGTTTCCACTGTCATACCCATTTAAAGTTCAAATGTCACTGATACCCACAGAGGTGGTTCAAGTTAAATAAATTAAATAAATTAAAATGCTGTAATTATTATAAATACTTGTAAGCTAAAAATCAGTAATTACTAAATGTCACCAGAGACACAGAACTTATTTAACAGATAATCAATGAAAAAAGCTTAAATAAAAATCCATAATGTTCCACTAAAAAGTAAACCTTTAAAATAGCATTAAGTGCATACCCATTAAATCCAGTGACAATTTTCAGTATTCTTTCCTTCATTTCATCAAAGGGAATATATTCAACATTAGGGTTGGGAGGACCTCTTGGTTCAGGAGCTGAAGTTCGAAAATCATCCATAACTTTCTCCAGTTTGAAAATAAAATAGCCTTTAAATTGGGACCACTGAATCCTAGAAGCAAAAAATTAAAAAAAAAAAGAAAAAAAAACAGTATCATGTAGCTTTACAATTCTTGAACATACAGCACAAACAGAATTTATCATGACACTAATGGTAACAATATTAAGATTTGAATAAGAAGCAGTGAGAATATCTTTGTTCAGTAGCATGTACCACATCTGCCTCCGATGAAACTGACTCAGAAGCTCCAAAATAGTTACATCCAATTCTCCCCACCCCTGACCCAAATGTAACTGAAATCTCTAATAAAAAGCTTTAAAACGAACTACCTCTGGCCGAAAGCCTACTGTGTGCTATGTCTCATTATTAGCATTTTAAAACACTGATTTGTTTTGACTCTATTGCTAATAACAAACCTAACCACAGAGGTGTTACTACCCCATCTTAAACAGGTTATTAGAAATTAGAGCACGTTCACAATTGTAGTTTTAAATAAGTCAAAATTACTCTATACCCCTAAGCTCTTAATATCCAAGCTGTCATGCTTACATAGACTAGTAAAGTTTTCTTGTCTTATATCTGTTAAAAAGCAAAATAAACTTCCATTTCTCCTTTTTCTTTTACTTTCAAGTAGTATTTTCAGAATCTTATGTCTTTTACAAGGTATGTATCACAGGTTCTATCCAACATGCACCTACAAAGTAAAAATACATAATTTCTTTATGTGCTTTTATTTTTTTTTTTTTTTATTTTTTTTTTTTTTAAAACTTTCCAGCTGCCTGTTCTCAGCCTTTTTTTTTTTTTTTTTAAATTTTTTAATGTTTTATTTATTTCTAGGAGAGAGAGAGACAGCGTGAGCAGGGGAGGACCAGAGAGAGAGGGAGACACAGACTCTGAAACAGGCTCCAGGCTCTGAGCTGGCAGTCAGCACAGAGCCCGACGCGGGGCTCGAACCCACGAACCGCGAGATCATGACCTAAGCGAAAGTCGGACGCTTAACCGACTAAGCCACCCAGGCGCCCCTCTTTATGTGCTTTTAATATCTATTCATTTACTAAGTTAATATAAATATCTTCTTAGTCCTACCCTCACACATTTTACCACTAATATTAGAAATAATTTGAGGATACCTGCCCGAATAGTCTAAATTCCAGAAGATCCAAGAATCAGGAATGTCAACAATTTCCCCAAACAGAAAGTAAAATCGTTTGTGGCAGCAGATAAATCTTGAGCAAAATAAGAGGGATGCTAATCTGCCATCACTACTCCCTCCCATCCACAATCTTAAAAACTAGGAGAGTTGTTCTCAAAGTGTAGTCGAAGAGGCAAAGAATTAATTTTTTCTTTTTCTTTTTTTTTATTGTGTTAACAATTGTCCTGGTGGTGCAAAAATAGCAGCAGGGAAAATGAAAATACTTTACTTTAGCACAAATCAAGGCAACAGTACAAAACTCGTATCTACTAGTAGCAGTCCTCATCTTCACCACCACCACCACCACCACCACCACAAACTCACAGTAAAACAACAAAAACCCTTTCACTTGAAGTTTAATAAAACAAAAAAAATTACTCATTTTATTAATCTCAACCTTTGAATACACATCATTCTAATATTCTGAGTGAACAAAATAAAAAGTATACATAAAAAACCTTCTGCCGCATTTGAAAATACTATGGACAGGCCAAGGAACAACAGCTGAATATTGTTGTCAGCCAAACTAGCTGCTTTCATAGAAGGCCATTTTTGCTTGAAAGGACTGTCAAACAAATAAGGCCTTTTTCAAAAGAATAAAAGAATGTGGCAGACATTTTCTCAAAAATGAATGACTTCAAGAGAAAGAAATAAAATATTTGTGGCCAACAATAAATTTTGAACTTCAAAACAAAAAATGAAAATTCTTGGCACACCTGGGTGAGTAGGTTGAGTGTGTGACTTCAGCTCAGATCATGATCTCATGTCTCGTGATCACAGGGCTCTGTGCTGACAGCTCAGAGCCTGGAGCCTGCTTCAGATTGTGTGTGTGTCTCTCTCTGCCCCTCCCCTGCTCATGCTTTTCTCTCTCTCAAAAAAAACATTTGAAAAAACATTTTTTAATGAAAATTCTAGAAAATGCTTTTCAGTGTGAGCTTAGAAGGTTTTGGATACATTCCCAAGACATTTCAAAATCAGTCACTGTTGATATAAACAATATTAAGTGACAGCAAAAAAAAGCCACAGGCCAAAAAAAAAAGTTGTACTACATCAAAATCAAAACCTTTTTTGTGTCTCAAAGGACACTATTAACGAAAGTGAAAATGCAACCCACAAAATGGAAGAAAATACTTGCGAATCATCTCCCTGATGAGGTATTACTATCCAGGAGATAAAAAGAACTCTTACCACTCAGCAGGGGAAGGGCCACAACCCAGTGAAAACATGGGTGATGTATTTGAGTAGATATTACACCAAAGATATACTAATGACCCGTAAGCACATGGAAAGATGCTCATCACTTATCATTAGGATAATGTACATCAAAACCACAATGAGACAGAACTTCACAACCATTAAGGTGACTGCAATCCAAAGGAAAAAAACCAGGAAATAACAAGTATCTCTGCCAAAGATGTAGAGAAACTGGAAACCTTGTGCACTGGCTGGTGGGTATTCACAATGATGCAGCCACTGTGGCAAAGTGCGGTGGTTTCTCAAAAACATGTAAGAAAAAAAAGAATTGCCAGATGATCAGTTACTCCACTTGTGGGTAGATACCCAAAAGATGTGAAAGGAGGGGCTCATTCAGGTATCTGTACGCCAATTCACAAAGCAGTATTACAACAGCCAAAAGGTGGAATCTACCATCAATCAACAGAAGAATGGATAAACAAAATGTGGTATATATACACACAGTGGCATACTATTAGGGCTTAAAATGGAAATTCTAGCATATGCTACAACTTTAATTAAATCTTGAACATAATATGCTAAATGAAATAAGCCAGAGACAAAAAAAAAAAAAACCTCCCAAATTTAATGGTTTCACTTACATGAGGTATCTAAAATGCATTCAAAGAGGCAAGGAGCAGAAAGGCATTAGCCAGGGCTGGGGGAAAGCAAGGGTGAGGTGTTATTGTAACTTAGGAAGAGTTTCAGTTTGGCAAGATAAAAAAAGGCTTAGACATGGATAATGAAGACGGTGGCACAAGCTCTGAATGTATTTAAAGTCACCAAATTATACACTTAAAATGTCAAAATTTTTATGTATACTTTATACCAAAAGAAAAGTGTTAGAAAATGGACAGAAGACCCAAATGGGCATTTCTCCCAAGAAGATAAATGGCCAATAAACACGTTAAAAGATGCTTAGCATTATTATCCACTAGGGAAACACAAATCAAAACCACAAGATACTATTTCACACCCACTAAGGGGTCTCTAATCAAAAAAGATGGACAACAGGGGCCCCTGGGTGGCTCAGTTGGTTAAAAGTCCGACTTCGGCTCAGGTCATGATGATCTCATGGTTTGTGTTCGAGCCCCATTGTCTGGCTCTGTGCTGACAGCTCAGAGCCTGGAGCCTGCTTCAGATTCTGTTTTCTCTCTGTTCCTCCCTTACTCACACTCTGTCTCTCTCAAAAATAAACACTAAAAAAAAAAGAAAAAAAAAAAAAAAAAGATCGACAATAACAAGTGTTGGGGGGGATGTAAGGAAACTGGAAATCTATACATTGTTGGAGGGAATGCAAAATGGTATAGCCACTGTGGGAAAATAGTTTGGCAGTACCTCAAAAAGTTAAACAGAGTTAACATGTGACCTGACAATTCCATTCTATTAAATGAGTAAATTACATGGTGTATAAATGTTTTGATTTAAAAAAAATTTTTGGTGAGGATGATTATAAAAAGCTATTTGCATAATCACCTCTTCCTTCCATTCTCTGGTCTATTTTGGGAAGAGGAATTCAAGGTTTAACAAACAGAGGAAGCATATTATAATGTCTGACATGCCTTATATTAATTTCTGATTAACATACAATTGCTAATGGTTACTACAATTTATCTCAATTTCACGAGACTCCCCATAGGCATTCAGCTAAAACACATGAAGGAAGATTATTCAAAGAGAAATCATATGCTTTTTATTTTTTTTTTTTTAATTTTTTTTTTTTTAATGTTTTATTTATTTCTAGGAGAGAGAGACAGCATGAGCAGGGGAGGGTCAGAGAGAGAGGGAGTCACAGACCGAAACAGGCTCCAGGCTCTGAGCTGGCAGTCAGCACAGAGCCCGACGCGGGACTCGAACCCACGAACCGCGAGATCATGACCTAAGCGAAAGTCAGACGCTTAACCGACTAAGCCACCCAGGCGCCCCTATTTCTTAAATTAAAAAAATTCGTTTTGTAGTTTTAATTAAGCCACCAAGTAATAAACTGTTTTATGAATTAGGATTTTTATACACATAGGAGTTTTTTTCCCTGTCTTTCCATTAACCACTTGTCAATCCACCCGTGATTTAAAAAAAAACAAACAAACCCACAAACACAAAACCCAAAAAAACAGCCACACATATACAGGAATGATAAGACACAAAACCCAAAAAAACAGCCACACATATACAGGAATGATAAGATAGATCCCACATAAGCAAACTACAGGGAGCTTTAAAGACTATATAAACTTATCAGACAAGAATTAAGTCCCATAAGCTAAAATAAATTTTGTACATACTGTATTTAAGAATTAGATTCAAGGGGTGCCTGGGTGGCTTAGTCGGTTAAGCGTCCGACTTTCGCTTAGGTCATGATCTCGCGGTTCGTGGGTTCGAGCCCCGCGTCAGACTCTGTGCTGACTGCCAGCTCAGAGCCTGGAGCCTGCTTCAGATTCTGTGTCTCCCTCTCTCTCTGACCCTCCCCTGCTCATGCTGTCTCTCTCTCTCTCTCCTAGAAATAAATAAAAACATTAGAAAAAAAAAAAAAGAATTAGATTCAAGAGATGCAATTCTGAAGTTATTACACCATATATAGATGAAAAACCACTTCTATATAATTTGAAAGATGAAACTTTTTGTTATA